ACCAAGAGATCTTGAAAATCTAGGAGAGGAACAATTCTTTTTTATTAGTCACCATACAGTTCATCATTAGTTTTTGATGTAGCGTTCCATGATTCATTGTTTGTGTATAACACCCAGTACTCCACGCAATACGTGCCCTCCTTAATACCCATCACTGGGCTAACACATCCGCCCTACCCCCCTCCCCTCTAGAACCCTCAGTTTGTTTCTCAGAGTCCATAGTCTCTCCTGGTTCGTTTCCCCCTCCAATTCCCCCCCTTCATTTTTCCCTTCCTTCTCCTAGTGTCCTCCATGCTATTCCTTAATTCCACAAATAAGTGAAACCAGGAGAGGAACAATTCTTAGAATGAGTTTAGCCAAGTACCCCAAAGGTACCAAATCCTACCTGCAAATGGAATGATTAGTGTTTGACTCTAGGAAGGGTATTTAAGTTCTTTAACAAGAAGAAAGAAGGAAAGATTTGTATAGATGCATGAAAATTTGTAGATTACAAGAAGTTGAAGATCTTTCCTATGTATAGCTTTTCTGCTTTTCCATGAATGAAGCTGCAAGATCGTTTGTTGAGAGTTATGGGAGAAATTATGGGTTTGGTGTTTAAGGAGATTGAATTATGTTGTATTATTAATAATATTGATGTAAATATTGAACACAATATTTTACAAAAGCTAGATCTTTGGGATAAGCAATAACTACCTAATCATCTTAGATTATTTTGAAGGATAAAATGTGAGGCAAGATCAAAATAACAGGGTGTGTTAGATTATATTTTTGTGCCATTTTTGAAATGAAATTTTCTTTTCCTACTTGATCTGAGTAAGAAAATATTTTTATTTGTAAATTACACAATATTTTTGTTTTCCAGAATCATCTTCAAAAAGACTTCCCACTCCATGCTAATTTGAATGTAGGAGGATAAATATTTACATATAGTGTTGCTAATTTTCCAGAAGCAAATTATGGCAAATATTTCTGAAGTCAGAGATGTGACAAGTTGCCTGGTTTAACCTTTCACAAAAACTGCAGTATGAAAAGAGGAATTTTAAAGAGGAATTTTGGAATGATATTAAGATGCAATTTCAGAAAAAAAAAAAAGGCTTATAAGAGACTATACTTAAATAATTATTAAATAAAAGGACCTAAACTTGGAAATGCTTTCTAATGCTGACACATTCACTTCCTCAGGTACCTTCTATTTCTGTCACTTTCAATTTAAGTAATGTGATATATCACCTGTGGATGACATTCATAATTCTGCTAAATGAATAATCTTTAACATCTACACATCTACAGCTTTCAACTTTTCAGCTGCTGATTAGATTTTAGTTATAACTCCAATGATCTGAATCTGTGGTTGAATAGGGTAAAGTGGCAAAATTAAGGTGATTTTGAGTCCAAAGTATAATTTTAAAATGATCAAAATAACTCCAATTTTCATAAGGAAAATTAGAGTTGTTTTTTTAATCTGGCCATCAAGTTTTTTTTTCCTGTTATATTGTTTCAGTTGCCTTCACTGTACAATATTTCATTTACTGTTTTTATTTTATTTTTTGCTGTTTCCTGCGTGGAGTGTATAGGAACAGTGAGGAGGCCAGAGTGACTGATAGAATAAGGGGTAGGAGAAGAGCATTGAGGGGTTCCGGGACCAGGCAGATGGTAAGGACTTTGACTTATACTCTGAATGGATTGGGAGGCCACTGGAAATATTTGAGCAGCAGAGTTACATGATTTGAATTACTTTGAAAATCCTTTATTTGACTGCTGTTTGGGGAAAGGGACTACAGAGCTACACGGAGAAGCAGAGATTATGGCAGCTATTAAAATAACTGATGTGAGAGACCATGGTGGTGTTTGATCAGGGCAGTAGTAGTTAGAGGTAGAGAAGTGGTTGGATTTATTATATATTTTGAAAGCAAAATTGAATTATTTTGATTTTAGTTTGGATATGATATGTCAGAGAAAGAAAGGAGTTAAAAATAAATCCAGTATCTTTGGCCTGATCAAAGGGAAGGATAGAGTTGATACTTACTGAAATGACAAAGACTGTCAGAGAAACTGGTTTAGGGGAGTTCTTAATTTGTCTTTGTAACATGCTAAGTGTGGGATACCTATAGAAGTGACAAGTAGGAAGTTGAGTCCGAAGTTCAAAGGAGACCTACAGGATGGAACTAGACATTTGGAGATTGTCAGAATTTTGACTAGTATGCAATGCTATGGGTGCACATCAGCTGTCCAAAGGAGTGAATTCATCAAGTGAACAGGTCCAAGAACTGAGCTTTGACACACTTCAACCTCTGACTCTATTTTCCAACATTTTTAGCAAACTTTTCTAAAGGAAGGGATTACTAGACACATTTTAAAATGTTTCTTTTATTGTTCTTTGAAATTTTGAAATTGTTCTGTCCTTAATTTATGAGTGCAGTATATATTCACTTTTTCCAAACATAATGATTAGATTTTTAATTACATTTTCTTTCATATCTTAAAATATACCATTCAGCTGTCTTTTTTTCTTGCTATCAGACATTGTGTTTTTGAATCTTGGCCATTTTATTCATGTTCTTGGTTTCTTCACATGTCCAGAGATCCTTGATTTTCCACGGCCAGTGAAAAATGAAAATGGAATTATTTTAGGTAATTGGTGTGGATTTCCCATACTGCTATGTATGAAAATTTATTTTCCTGCCTCCTCTCTCCTTTGTGTGGTAACATTGATTGCAGTCCTATTGACAGTGAGAGAGCTTATTGATTGATCTGATTCCCTGAGAATTAATGGTCATGATTTCAGAAGTTAAACTAAGGGCATTCAATTACCAGAATGAGTTGGATTTTACTTTGGTGAACTCAAACCAAAACCTGATGCTTTGATTGCTTTGATCTTATCCTTGCAATTCATTATTTTCTTTAGCAAAGGGACTTCTATTTTATTTTATTTTATTTTAGCCAGAGATGAATGCCCCATTGTATCTTTACATGAAGGTGGGGTGAAACATGCATAGGCGGACTTTGACTGAACCCCATGGTATTGTGTCCTGTTCCACACTTGCCTTCCATGGTGTGTTCTCCAGGTTACTACCTCTGAACAAGGAGCCTCTCTGTACTTGGCATATCAGCCCCCAACACCATTGTAGTTCATTTCTAGCATGTGGCTATAAGCTTTTTGCCTTTCAGTAAGCTATACGATGGCTTTTATCTTTATAATTATAGATGTAGCTAGCTGCTGGTTTATGATTAAGAACTCAGGTAATGAATTTGGCAAGAACATCCTTAAAATGTGCTTCTTCCAGTCACTAGCTTTGTGAATTTGGGGAAGTTACTTAAGCCTAGTAAAAATACGGCTTATTTTTCTTTAAGGTAAAGATAGTACCTAACACAGGATTACTCTACCTTTAACTAAGGAAATATATATCAAGTCCAGTTCCTAGAGACTAGTACATACTTAATATTACTATTAACAATGGTAATGTTATGAGTAATATTTTTAATGGTAAATAGTATAATGTTTGCTTTTATTTTCTAATTTATTGTGGGATTACTTACAAATTATATAAATTCTGAAAATATTTACCTACATATTTTAGGGGAAAATATAAGTTAACAAAACAAACTTATATGTGTATGTATTACACATTGTATAGGTTTATCAAAATTTGTGTTTCTGCTGAAAACTATAAGAACAGGTGGGAAAAATTACTGTGCATTTCCAGGATTTTTCTCACATTCCTATGTTTCTTTTTATAGACTATTTTTTAGAGCAGTTTTAGATTCACAGCAAAATTGAGTGGAAGATACATACATTTCCCGTATGCTCCCTGTCTCCACTTAAGCACACCCTTCACTATTAACGGTGTCCTCCGCCATAGTGGTACATTTGTGACAAATGATGAACCTACATTGACACACCACTGTCCATAGTTTACCTTAGAGTGTACTCTTGGTGTTGTGCATTCTCTGGGTTTAGACAAATGTATAATGACATGTATCCACCAGTGATACACCAAATAGTTTCGCTGCCCTAAAAATCTCTGTGCTCCACCTATTCATCTCTTCCTCCCTGCAGCCCTGAAAACCACCGATTTTATATTTTCTCCATGGTTTTGCCTTTTCCAGAATGTCACATAATTAGAATTATACAGTAGGTAGCCTTTTCAGATTGGCTTCTTTCACTTAGTAATATATATTTAAGTTTCCTCCATGTCTTTTCTTGGCTTTTTAGTGCTGAATAATATTCCATTATCTGGATATGCCATAGTTTATTTATCCTGTTTTCCTGCTAATTTATTGGCATCTTTAATAAACATATTTTTACCAGCTCTAGCATTGCATAGATGTATTTTTCCATTGCACAAGTTTGCCTCTGTTATAATCTATATACTCCTTACACTTCATAAAAAATAGACATTAAATAGGATTACAAAGGGTCCTGTATTACAGAATTCAAGACTGTAAGATCGGTATTAATTGGGGCACCTGGGTGGCTCAGTCATTAAGCATCTGCCTTTGGCTCAGGTCATTGTCTCAGGGTCTTGGGATCGAGCCCCACATTGGGCTCCCTGCTCGGCGGGAAGCCTGCTTCTCCCTCTCCCACTCCCCCTGCTTGTGTTCCCTCTCTCACTGTGTCTGTCTCTCTGTCAAATAAATAAGTAAAATCTTAAAAAAAAAATCAGTATTAATTGAATTTGTTTAGAATCCAGTTGTTCAATTACCAGGATTCTTTGTGGTAACCAAGTTTTGGCCAATTTTTTCAATTGATGAGTTTGAATTTATGGAAATTTGCTGATTTGTTTTCTAATAACCAAGAATTTTTCAAATATAAGAAATAAATGGTTTAACTACATTAATTACCACAGCAACAATAAAACCTGCCAGAATCCACATAAAAAACAAATGAACAAAAAACTAAACTAAACTAAAAGCAAAACGAAAGACTAATGTGGATTATCCTGGAGCCAGCCTTTGGAGCATCATGTGATTATAATTTTAACCTTTTTTTTTTTTTTCAGTTTAACATTATTCCTGGTCAGCATGAAAATGAAATGGAAGAACTATCAGGAGATATAAAGGAAGAATCAAAATCTCAAAACAGCAAGGATAGACTGATCTTCCAGTTAAGAGCTGAGGTAAGATATTGGATAAAGATTATAATGCCAAAACATACCTGAAGATTATTAAGTGATATACTATTTTAAGAAGTATAACGGAGGCATCGTTGGTTACTTTATGAAGAAGGATGCTACTGAAAATCAAAAATAATATAATCAGTTTATATATGACTTAAAATGCTATGGGATGATACTGACTCATCACTAGATTGGAATTATCTGACTATTATAAAGACAAAATATTTGATGATAAAACCACCTTATAGCCAATATAATTCTAGCTGTGAGTAAATACTTACTAAAGGTTCAGTTGGCTGCTGGATCTAGTGTGTTAAGTTATTGTAAGGACGAATGACTTACAAATGTGTAGCATGCAGTTTCTGGTGGAATTAACACAGCTATTGGCAGCTAGCAACAGTGAGAGACAAGGCAGGGTGACCTCACTCTTGTGAGTTAATTCATTTCTTAGGTATGGCACGTAAAATGGTGGGAACATTTATTTTCAACACATCTACCACAGTCACCACCAGAAGAATTTTCACAGATTGTAAATTCTGTTTTCTCTGTCATGTTAATAAAGGAGGAATTATTGTTCTTATAGATAGAGGATTGAATTATTTGCACTGCATAGAAAATAGTGTTAGTGCCCTAAAAGTGGGAAATCATAAATTACTTATTTTGTATCATAATCCTGGAAGAATGTCTTGGATACCCATGTGTAGGAACAATTCAGGAAATGTAGGCTGGGAGGAAGGAGATTTGTATTAGATGGTTTCTTCTTTATAAAGATCTGTAAAGACTGAACTCACACCACAGTATATTTTTATATCAGAAGAACATAGTGCAGTGGAAAATGCATAAATCATAGATTTTGGAGCCAGGAGCAGCTCCATTACTGATTACTTTATTCTGGTCAACTCCTTATGCCTCTCTAAGTTTACAGATTGATTGAAATAATGGAAGTAAGAATAATAAAAGTCATCACATGGGATTTTTGAAAAGGTCACACACTGCAAGGGAAAACTTGCCAGAGGCAGCATGCCTTGATTTGGGGAGTTCCACTAAGTTGTTAAGGAGAAATAGCTCTTCCTGATTGCATCAGCACTGTTCCTTGCCCCCGCTTCCACGAGTCACGTGAAGGGATGGTGGGTGAGGAAAGGCATATGGAGAGATCCGTTAAGAGAAAGCCTGATATTTGTTTCAATGAAACAATTCTTCCTACCAGTTAGGTCAAAAGGGAAAATGGTGGTTTGTGTGATGGCTGTTTTCTAAAAGGAATCAAACCGTCAGGAGAGGCGCCACCTTTTCTTGGTCCTGAGATCTGAGAACATCTTACATTAAGCTTTGCACATCATGTATAAAACCTTACCTAGCAGTTAGAGATAAAAACAGAGAAAGACACATCTGGATATTTATTATAACTCTCCTGAAAAGCGGAGGACATGATCTTACATCATCATTTTTAGATGCACTGGGAGCCATAGCAACATAGGATCTCTGATGTACAATTTTTTAGTTTGATTTAGGAAAAAGTTCAGAGACTCATTTATTAATTATGTGGCCTTGCATTAGGTGTTTCATATCGATACAGCTCAACTATGTTTCTTAGATTAGTATTCAAACCTTTTATCCACCAAAAGGTAATCTCCCACAAGACACTCAAGTACTATGATATATGATTTTATGATTTAAAAATTCTTAATAGAGCACTGAAAGCTGAAAGCAAATGAAAGACATGAATTGGCTATGTGCGCTTATGTGCACGTAAGTGGTATATTCAATTGGATTACATTTCAGAAAGAAAACTTTGTTCAAAAGAAAACAAATAAAATATTAACTAAAATATTGAGATTCTTAATAGAAACAATGAGCTTGTGTGTGTGTGTGTGTGTGTGTGTGTGTGTGTGTGGTATATATGAGCATATATGTGTTCATTTCAGTTTTAAATTAGGGTAGAAGCTTTTTTCTTTCCTTAGAAAAGAAGACAAATAATCACTCTGTGTTGGCATTATTTTTTTACACTGGCTATGTTTAGGTCTCTAAAATCGTATCATAATGTGTAATATGTTTTCATAAAAGCCATTGAGTGATTGTACCATACCTTAATTCAAGTATAACCTATTTTTAAATATCAGGTTTTTGGAGTGACTGGGTGGCTCAGTCAGTTAAGTGTCTGCCTTCGGCTCAGGTCGTGATCCCAAGGTCCTGGGATTGAGCCCCATCTCAGACTCCCTACTCAGAGGGGAGTCTGCTTCTCCCTTTCCCTCTGCCGCTCCCCCCCACCAATTCTGCTATCTCAAATAAATAAATAAAATCTTAAAAAAATAAAAAAATAGGGTTTTTTTTAAGATATATAATCAATATTGCAGTTTGTATGTGCACATTCATCTTTGGACATTTAAAATGGCTTAGGGTAAATTCCTAGAAATGGTATGGCTTGTCAAGAGAATGTTTATTATTTAAATCTTTTATACACATTGACAAATTGTCCTTTAGAAAAATTATATCAATTTACATTCTCACTCACCTGCAGTGCATATTCTCATTTCATTATTCTATAGCCAACAGTATATATTATTATTTTTAATATTTCCCTAACTGATAGACAAAAAGGTAATTTTAATCTATATTTTACTTATCTAAACGTAAATTTCTAGTTGTTTGCTCATTTTTACAGATATAATGTCTATTATAATAACTACCCTTTACTGATAACTTCAAATATGTCACATTTGTAGTGCTGGGCCATTAAAATATAAGATCTCACTTAATATCAACACTCTTATGATCTATATATTCTTTTTTAATTTTGTTTTTATTTTTAAGTTTTTTATTTTAGTTCCAGTATAGTTAACATACTCCTTTTTATTACTTTTGTTGTTTTATGATCTATATTTTTGTCTACTTTTAAAGGAAAGAGCCTTAGAGAATTTACCTTGCTCAAAGTTACAAAATAACCTCAAACATTCTTAAAATAATTTCTTACGTATGTTGTCATTTAGTTCCAGTTTTTCAGAGGTGCACCCTCAGACTCAGATTGCCAGCAAGTTAGGCCACTTACCAAGGCCACCCAGAATCCAGATCTGAATCCACCACCCAATCTGAATCCAGAAATCAAATGGGGCCAGTAGTGAGTCTTTGACATTGCTGACCTGGTCTATCACCTTGAGAGTTTATTGAAGAAATGTAGCAAATTTTCAACAATATTGCTTGAATTGGAAAAAACAGTATTTTAATATCAAACATCACAATTTTTTTAACATTGATGATCCCCATTTATGATAGGCAACTTTTTAAACTGTTACTAATACTTTCCAATTCCATAGTAGTATTGTTTTCACTTGACCAGTGTATGCTCCCTATTTAATCTGCTTCATTTTTTTTCCAGAAGTAAGCTTCTCATTGTAGAAATTTGGTCAAAGAAATTTGAAATGCAACATTGACAAAAAGCCCCAGAGTATTTACATAATTGGGTCTTCTGACCCATGTTTGAGGAGGTGGATTCTCTGAGCACCAAGTCGCTGGGTGAATGGATAGGTCTCAGTATATGCAAATGTGTAACACGTACATTTCATCTGTTCTCCATATTTAAGACCAAGGCCCTTCAAACTGGAAATGAAAAGTTTGTTTAGAATGGAAATTAACTGGCACTGTGAGTCAAGAAATCATTACTTCTTTCTACAGACTGGTTGCTGCTTGAAAGCAAGCCCATAATCAGGAAACACTCCTTTTACATTTTTTTTTTAGGCCAGCATTTTTGGGATACACATTAATCCAAGGGAGAATAACTGTTTTATCCTGTATTGTTCTAAAAAACATATTGCCAACATTTCAGTTTCAAACTTCTAGGAATTTTGATTTCTTTTTTTTAGAAAGAAACATGAGTAGAAATCTAGGTGATATATTTTTTAAAGATTTTATTTATTCATTTGAGACAGAGATACAGAGAGAGAGAGAGAGAGAGCACGAGCAGGGAGAGAGGCAGAGGGAGAGGGAGAAGCAGGCTCCCCGCTGAGCCAAGAGCCCGATGTGGGGCTTGACCCCAGGACCCTGGGATCATGACCCGAGCTGAAGGCAGACGCCCAACCACCTGAGCCGCCCGGGCGCCCCAGGAATTTTGATTTCTTATTTTCTTACTTCTTATTTGTGGATTGTTTTTTTCTCACCTATCCACACATTTACATCCTATTTCTGTTGCACTTTGGAAAGATGAAGTCAACATACTTTTCCCTATTTAGCCCACTAAGTACAACTAAAAACTCTGAAGATAGATGCTGGTCCCTTATTTCACATCTCCCTTTCTGATATTAGTGGATTATCCACAGTAGCTCTTGCTTAGTGTTCTGCTGTGGACACATATTGTCTCTGATACTTCATTAAGGTTAAAATCTTTCCACGTGGTACCAAACAAACTCTTAAAATTATTTTTCTTCCTAATCCTAATTGAATAGAGTGTAATATAAATTGAAGGGACCAAATATATTCATTTGTTTTTATCTCTCTCTCTTTTAGAATGTCTTTTATTTTTTAAAAAATATTTTATTCATTTATTTTGAGAGAGAGCGAGAGCGAGAGCTTGAATGGGGAGAGGGACAGAGGCAGAGGGCGAGAGAGAATCTCAAGCGGACTCCACACCGAGCACAGAGCCCCAGGCAGGCCCCATCTTATGACCCTGAGACCACAGCCTGAGCCAAAACCAAGAGTTGGATGCTTAACTGACTGAGCCACCCAGGTGCCTCTAGAATATATTTTTTCACTTTTAAAATGCTGCTTCCTAATTGAGAAAAAAAGGCCCAGATGGGTAACATATTAAATTTAACTAGTGGTTATGTAAGTAGCCCTCTTTATTTTGCTTATGCAAGATAAAACATAAACATTTTGTACCATAAATTTTTCATACACAGATGTTATATTATTGACTGGGGTTTCAAAGGAAAATTTTCTCAATGTGAACATCAAGCAGAGTCTCTCTGCTCTCTCTGCATAGGCACAATGAAATAATAGTGAAGTAGAAAACA